TTTGTTTAATTATCGTTATATTTAGCAACTGTACTTTGAAAATGTATAAAGACTGATGTAAATTCACGTTATTTAGCACATTCTAACATCCTTAACTTGAAAACTAACCAACAAAGAGCTATAATATTTGATCAATGAACTAACGAGAAGATTAGAAAGGTGATTCTAGTGTAAAAAATAATTTTCTCTAAGAGGCACTATAGTGGAACATGCATACCAGTGAGCAGGTAAAAACCAGCAAGAAACATATAATAATTTATTCTCTGCTGTTACAAATGACTCCAGGCTGTTTATCTCTGAACATCAGAATTATCATCATAAAATGTTACTACAGCTGTGGTATAATGCTGATAAAACGTTAAGGTAAAATCAACAAGAAAGAGATGAACATACAGAGAGGATCACACAGCAAAGAGAAGCTGATTATTTTAATTCAGAGGACTGGTTGTTGATGTGACTTTGAACATGTTATCCTTCTTACACTTTAGAGAAGAGAAGTTTTGAATGAATATTTTCATGTAAGATGGGACTCTTTGCAAGGATTAATAAGATACTGCTGGGACATGTTTTGAGGAATAGAGTAATCAACAGACATTTTCCACAGACATGACCAGCACAGTCTCTAGATCTTGCCCTTACTGTCGTTTTTTACAATGGGGCCCACATCATGTTTTTCATTTAACGTGAGATTCCTGCTACCTTGACAGTCTTACAGATACCAAAATAAACCAAGTACAACTGTTAGAAATCGAAAAGTATCATTCTACCATATACTATTTTCTCTCGTGAATGAAAACAATACTAGAGTTGATTGGTGGTCACATTGAACACTGTTAACATGTTAGCTGTGTGACTTTTAGGTCAGCACCCTCTTAATTGTAAATTGTTTTGAGCTACGGACATTAGGATAGGGCAACTAACTTCAACTTATGACTATCTGCTAAGAATGTGCATTAATATAAAATGAACAATCAGATATCTCACCATTTTCTGAGCACTGCTATCATTTATGGATGTGGGAACAATTTTTTGGTCATCTGTATTTTCTAGGTCTTCATTATGACTGACAGGTTCCCGCTATGAAAAACAAAACCACTTAGTTAGGAAAATAGGCTTATTAATCTTAATGCTGAGAAATAACTAACCACTTTGATAGGAACAAAGTTAAAGAAAATTTGATCTTCAGGAACAAAACATCATTTTATTATGACCCTATTTAAATAAAACTGAATCACCAAGAACTGCAAAGTACCATTTACATAAGCATACAACTACAATATGTTTAATTATCATAGACAGGTCAAAATTTAGATAGAAACATAATTAAATCAAACTGATGATAAGTAGCAAGTCAATGAACACTAATTACATTAAAAAGTACCATGAGGATCATGCCATATTTTAAACAGAAACACAGTTACACTACACTTAATCATCTGAAAAAAAGAATTCTTCAGAGCACCTAAGTAACCTATATAATCCAACTAAGATACTAGTTGAGATGGAACTCCCCAAATTAAAACTCCAATGAGCAATCTTTATTAAGTGTTGGGAACATTCATTTCACACTGAATTATGATATGTTAAGTCTATAGATTACTGTTCTCAAGCTGTATTTTGTGATTTAAGGTCTCAATTTTCATTTTAAACTGCAATTAACTCATTCACTACTGACTTTAAGTTTAAACTGAACTCCCTCTGTTATATAATTACTTTATTGATAATTATACAAAACTTATGAATGCCTCTTGCATCATATAGTATGGGTTAAGTGCAAAACTGAAACTATATGAAATACTATCTGTAGTTACCTTTTATATCTTAAAATACTGAGATAAAATTCACCACACACACACAAACATTAATACAAATATTCAACTCCAAATTGTTTTAAGAAACATAAACATGCATTTAAAATTGCATGTTCAATATTTATACACTTGGATGTACACTGGTATCCTCCTACTAAGACACTTGCAAGCCTTAGTATAATGCATAAGTTGGATTTCTGGCACTTGCTTCTCAGGGTCCTGCACCCTGTGTTGCACTTGCAAGTGATTATTTCTATACAACTTTCATGTAATGGTTCTAGTCTCATCAGTACTAGAAAACGATTATCATCCTTTATACAAATCCCATTTCATTGGGACTGGGTAACATTGGTACTGACCAGGATGTCTGTTTCCATACCATGCCTTGGTAATGAAGACCCATAGTATGAAATCTAAGTGCATCACTAGTTAGTGGGAAGGCATCTGGTGTTTTTGCATTTGTGAAAAGGAAGCTGCATGATTCATCCACTGAAAAAATTCTTTCTGGCACATATGGCAGAAGAACTATTTTACTGCCTTATATTTCTTCATAGTGAGTTCATGTTCAACAAGACTTTACAGCGAGTCTTGATGCTATATGAACATCCTAGTTTCGTGGTGTGACTACTTATGTAGGATGTAGAATTACACCTTATAAAATCATGGAATGACAGGAGAGACTTTACAGCATTTGTGGTAGCTTTTCATATTCTTCCTTCATACTTTTGTTTCTTTGAGGTGCTTGCCATCAGCCACAGAGGATTGCAGTACATCCTCTCAAAGTGTGCCATAAACATCAGGACCACATAAGTATCCCTATAGTTGACAATTTCTGCTGTGCAATAGATGGAATTCAGAACTAGCCAACTGTCTATTGCTTCATGATTTGCTTTTAGTTGTGACACATCAACATTATCCTTATACCACTGGACACCTTTACTTTCAGAAAATCCTCCTGCAGCAACCATCAACTTGTCACTTAGAGCATGAAGAATTAGTCCCTCTGACAAAGAGTGAGACAAAAGTGCCTTGTTATGACCAAGTGCCAGAAAACTAGAACAATTCTTGGGTATAGGCACATGATAACCATGAAAAATCCTACAGGTAGGTTGGGCTTTCTCATGGTTACCAGACATCCCAGTTTCTAGCATCATTTTTCTTGTTTTGATCAGAAACAGTTAAAAGTATTAAATTGTCCCAGTTTCTTTGTACTTCAATGTGATTTTCATGTGAACAGTTTGTTATTATATACAACTCCCTTAAATTTTACTTGGGAAATTACCTAACAAAGACAGATTATATGGTACAGTGTTCCCTCCCACTTTGCTACATTTTCTTAACCTAACCTTCATTGAGAAGCCATAGAAATTGAAATTTGAAGACCTGCTCAGCAACAAAAAAGGAAATAAAGGAAGCAAAATTTTTCTTTTAAATAGGTTCAAAACAACTTAGGTTGTTATTATTATTTTGACTAGTTAAGCTTTTAAGTAATTTTGTTTCTCTATGAGTTTAAAATGCAATGCTATAAACATCAGATTATTTAGCAAATGGTAAAAGGTTTGTTATTTTAATTTAACTCTGTGTGCATGCTATGACCTTTTACAGAGTGCCATTCAACATGGTGTTAATGATTTGATATTATAAATTATTCATTTCACCCTAAACTGTTGACAGTTCATGGTAGAATAAACACCAGATATAATATATAGGGTTATCAAAAAAATGTAGATATGCATTTTGGAGGGTTTAGAAGTTTGCAAATGCATTATGCAAACAGTACAATAGATAAATGTATTTTCATTCTTCATATGAAGATCACCTTGTACTCTGACTTGTCAGAGTCTGAATCAGACTGATGTAATCAATTCACAGACATTCTTTCAGTACAAATGTTTTTGTAACACATCTGATATTTTGTGTATAACAGACTTGTACATTTTACTCAAAACTTGTCATATTTTGTGTAGATAAATGTAGTGTATTTGGAATTATTGTCAACATTCCTTATCCAGTTCACTTTTTCACAACTCTTACATTTGGTATGGTAAAATAAATGTTCCTGTTTTTCACTCTGGAAATCTGGTAACCTTAGGCTTTCTTCACCAAATGCTGTCTAGTCTCTATGCCATACTACATTTTGAGCAGAAGTTTATGATTCTCTTAAGATATTACTGACTTCAAGATGTGATAGACTTCATTTAGCAGTGATAGACTAGAGGGAAGGCAGCTAGTCAACACCACCCACCACCAATTCTTGGGCTAACATTTTACCAAAGAATAGTGGGATTGACCATCACGTAATAATGCCCCCATGGCTGAAAGGATGAGTGACAAGGATTCGAACCTGTGGCCCACAAAAAGGAAAATAGACATTTCTGTATTTAGAAACTTAAAAAAGGGTACAATAGCAAAGGTGTTAAATAATGAATAAATAAAAGGAATGTTCATTTTGGATGGCCATTTTAAATTATAGAATTAGCCCCTTATATAAAAAAAAATAAAACTTGAGAACAGATATACTTGGTTTCAGCACATTAAATTTATGTAAGAAATGTCTGTTCCTAACTTCAGTTCAAAATGCCTCTTATTTAAAAACATTCAGACTTATTTTGGGGTTTTCCATCCAGATTATACTATCATCTTTGTCAAATATGTTTGCTAAAATTGTTTTATTTAATGAATTAAAACCAATAAGTTTGTTAACATGTTAATGTAAAAATTACCAAAAACTCATATTTATAACTATGCACCTGCAGAAGAACTGTTTATTGTTTATTTTAAATGTACAATAATTACTGTAATAAACAACTGGCAATATCTTTTGACTATAATTGATATTATCAAAATAATAATTGCTATTATATTCTACTCCACATTTAATATTCCTGAAATAGAATTTTTATATTACTATGTGAACAAGAAGATAAAAAAAGAGAATATTAACAAGAATCCCAGCATAAAAATTTGTATCAGTGTCTTTGAATAATGAATAAACATACATATATATATATATGCATGTGCATCCATTCAATTCCACTTCCTTACACATCTTTAACAAATTACCAGTGCACTGTTTAAGTATTGTAAAGAAGTCAAAATGGACAGCTTAATCCCAGTTAAAGTATTTTGAAGGTGCATACACACATACATGCATATAACAGTTTAAGTTCCTGTCCATAAAAATTTAGTAGCTAAAACACGGGAGCTTTGTGAGTAATATACAGCATTTTCTAATATTAGAATAATGCAGCAAGCTTGATAAGATAGTTTTGGAACCACATTTTGATCACAATTATTTCAGTAACCTACCAGTACGAAAGTTAACACTGAGTAATCTATGGTAATTAGGACTTAAACTTTGGACAACCTCTCACAACCCAGCATTTTCAAGCCCACAAAATTACTAACCTGTTGTCATAATGAGAATCCATACCATTCTCATATCAAAGTAATACCTAGCAATCTTAAACCTAGTACCCACAATACTAACCAGCATTTTCAATTTTAAAACACAAAACACTCTTAAAAATGGGAAGCAAAAGTACAAAACAAGATGAGAATGCTATCTATAAACTGCAAATAGCCAATACTACCTGGGAACTTAAGCAAACAATGCAAAAGATTATCCAGTAACTCTAACCCAACAACACTCTCCAGGTTGTAAGCTTGTCTCACTTCACAACAACTCAAGATATATGAAAACTGCCTTACTGCACACTTCTAACTACCTCTAAATGCTTTATTACTGACTTAAAGCAAACTATCTTAAAAAGGTTTTTAACATCACAGACAGCACATCAACTTTACAAGCTTTAGCCTGTCTGCTGCTTGCTCACTACCTTTACACACTGTCTACTGCACACTACCTTTAGAGATCTTATCATTGCTGACATTCTTTGTGTGCTCTGCACAGCTTCCAGTGTAGCTAGGTTAGTCTTACATCTTTCCACATCTACCAGGTTTTCTTTAAACTGCTCCATTTCAGAAATCACACACCGCAGAGCATCAACAACTGCATGAATAATGTGAACACTATATACCTGTTCTATAATATATTAAGTTGATTTCAACCTAAATGACAAATGCTCATAGTGTTAGTTGTTTGAAATTAGAATTAACCTTTATAGCAATATGCTATTTTCTGCAACAGCTGTCATGCAATTCAGGACAAACCTAATATATATATAATGTTAGTTCTTGTAAAAGCTGTCATGACACACAATAAAATTGATCAGTTTTATATTACTTGTCATAATATGTAGAATAAAAGTGGTAGATCTTTTAACATAATATAATCTGCAATGTCTGACGAAGCTACAAATCAATGATGTTTTATTTACTGTAAAAGATAATTGAAACAAAACAAAACTAGTGGTTGTGATTTAGTTTGCTAACAACACCTATTACAATATAATCTGCCAATAAACTTTTATGTTTCTTATGTAAAGGTGTGAAAGACTTAATTGCTGTGACACCAATACTTCAAGAGCGTTTCTGTGTTACTTTCTTAATTAATTCTAAAATAATATAAAAATGCAAGAAACTGCATTGTAACACCAATAAGTGCTCCAAAAAATTTTCTGTGTTAGTTGACTAGAAGTTAATCCTAAAAACAGTGTCAATCTTTTTGCAACAGGAGCCCCTTTAAATGCTTTTCAGCACAAGTCACTGTGTTACATTCAAAATTTAATCGAACACCTCTACTATCAGTGTATGTGAATACAATTAACATTAAAATGTATGTTATGATTCAAAGTTTTATTTTATCCAAGATTTAAGTCCTTTATTTCAAAATAAACGTTTAGAAAACTACTTAAAACTTCAGATGAATTGTAATGTGACCAACGAGCTTTGAAAATGCTCTATTTTGGCCCTCTGTATCTTCAATAATAAAATGGTAGTTGAGTAGAGGTACATCTAGACAATGCCTTGCTTACATAACCTTTTGACTCAATCATTTCAAAGTTCCCTGTATGAATACAGTTAAAACGAGTAATATATTTTTCAACCCCTGACAGTTGCCACGCCCTTCAACAGATTTATTTGGCTTTATAACCTAAATGTAGATGTTACATACACATGTGTATAGTTACTAGAAATACTTTATTTTAAACTATAATCTAACAATCGTTATTTTGAAATTGGCATCCAGTTGTCATCACAGAGTACATGGAACTGATTGTAGTATTGTTGGCTGTTTGACTGACCACAGCACTTACAGTTGTTTCTTACCTAAATATGTTATAGTTAGAGATACAGTTAAATTGTATTTGGGTCTTACTATTATATTTTAGTTAATTAGGCATTAGTTAAGTTTTAAAATGCATAATTAAAAGGTTTAAACATTTTTTAAATATATATACATCATATTTTGCATCCATTCTCAAGGCTTATGATATTATGTGCTGAATGAAAATTTTATTGAAGGGTTGCACGTGTCTCCCAAAGAAACTGTAATATGCCTCGAGGGCACCATTGACTTGTATCAAGATGACTAATAAGTGGTAAAGGACAAGAAAGGAAAACAAAACATTAAAAATTAATTGTATGTGAAAAGGAAAAGACCTAAAATTATGAATTTAACAAAAGGTAAATCTTTCTACAAAAAATTATGTATTTTTTCTGTTTCCTGATTTTAATCATTTCATTGTATTGTACATTGATTATGATAGCTAGAGTGATATGGTTGAGAAAATTAAAAATAACATATAAACATTTTGATATCCTTTTAGGAGGTTCTAGAGATTATTCAAATGAAATATGAAACTATAAGATGATGAAAAGTGTTTTTATACTTAAAATGAAAATCACCTTGCATCGAACTATTTTAACAGTTTTAATGCAAATAACTACTATAGATAAATAAGTTTTTTATTAGAAAGACATAATTAGAATAATGTCATTCTTTGTGTACAAAATACTTATAAACTTTAACAAAATCTTACAAGGTTTTGAGAGGAACACTCAGAGTTACCATATGTTTTTTGCATGTATGTCCTTCCCCAGTCAAAGTGATACAAAATGTATCAGCCCATGCTGAAAGGGTTAAAAGATGGAAAACTTTAAGTTCTGGCATCTTAAGTACAAGAACTTTGCTTTTAATATGTTTTGTTATCAATCCAACATGCAATATAAGTATTTGTAATATCTTGTGCTGTGACATCACTAAGTATTTCAAAATCTTATCTGTGTTACAGTTGTGACATTAATCCTACAATTGATTTAAAAATGTGATAAACTTCTCTGCTGAGAAACAATATAAGCATCAGAAACTTGACCATGTCATTGCTTTGGTGTTCTTAACAATCAAAGAAACACATGAAATATGACTGTTATAAGAATACAACAATACCATCTTCAAAAATTGGAATTTTAACTATAACATGAAATTCCTGAGCACTGTAATGATAAATTTGGCATATTCTGGCTCAAATACTGCTTTAAACTGAAATTTCACAAAACACTCATACATTAGGTACATCTGAAGGAAACTTTTTCAAAACATGAAATTTCTGTATGCTAAACAATGCTTTGTTACATGGAATATCATCACATGTCTTTATCTGAAATTTTACAGAAAAATGAATCTCCATGATGGTGATCTTCCCATGAAACAAGGCATTGTTTGACAATTTTAAGCAGATCTTTCAGCTACCTGTGAGCTTGTGCTGGCTGTTGAGTTTGGTAAATAAGCCATGCCCACTGCTAGATGCTCTGTGACGACCCCCATGTGTTTCATAATTTTCTCCATTGCAGCCTCTGTTTCTTCTAGTCTTTTCCTTAGTTGACTGATCTCATAGTTTTCTACAGTAAAGGAGTTTACTTATTAGACTAATATAAAAGTGATTAAGTTGCAGCTTCACATTTACACTTATTTATATTTCAAAACTTATAAGAAACAGAATAAACTTAACAAGAGAAGATACTTTTTCTTCTAATATACTGTTTCTCTACTTTTTGTAACTCAAACCTTATCATCACTAGAAATTAAGAATAAATCCCCAAAACCGAAAGTTCCTACTGGCTAGAAGAGAGATATAGATTTAAAGAAATTAATTTTCTTGAATATCCAAGTCCTTACTTTTCCTGATATTCAGATAGCCTTTGGTACAAGATATTGTCAAAAAATTAAGTTTAAAGCTGTGTTGTTCTTATTTTCTTTCATCCCATTTAGCTGGATACACTGATTTGAAATATATATCCTACCTGATATTTTACATTGTTTTTGTAACTTTTTTCACATTATGTCTTCATGAAAATATTTCAAAGTTTATATACTCCATACAAGTGTTGTTCCATCCAAACTTTTTCACACTATAGCTTTATCAAAATTTTCCTAAGTTTTCGAAGTTCGTATATTCCATACAAGTGTTCTTCTACCATTTTACTATTCTTTAACATACTGCTTGAAATTCAGAATTGACTGAACTTAAGAGAACTGTTGCTGATAAGATACAATTAGCCTCTATAATGCAAGTGACGTTGATTATTGTTATAAATTCACTATAAAATGTCAACTCTTGATGTAACATTGTGCAAACACAATACTTTTCATCCAGCCAAAACTTTAGAGTAGGGACATATATATGCACTAACACACTCTTAACTTTAGAGAACAGATTCATTTAATTAACTTCTTTTTAATGAACAAAAGAATAATGTAAAAAAAAAGATAATATCTATTACCCAGTTAGCCTTACACTTAATAAAAAGAATGTACTTACTTTCTGCTAGTTCTTCTTCCACTACAAAGCAG